TTCAAGCATGGCCTACAATGAAGTCAGATCACTTTGTTCAGAGCTCATTCCAGTTCAGGCTAAAAACCTCTTGGGATGAAGATAGCATTCTTGTTGCTGTCTTTACCAGTTGTGAGTTGTGTCTTGTGAGTATTTACAGCACAGTAAATCTAGCCTTGCTTTTTTCCCCTTAGCATACCTGGATGTGACCAAACAGAAGGACCTCAGTGGGTTCTACAGACATCTCTTAAATCAGAGGGTAGGGGAAGAAGAGGTGCCAAAGTGCAGCTTCCGTGAAGCCAGGTATGATGCGGTTCGGAAGGGCTTCAGATATAAAACAGCTTCTGCTTGGATGTGGTTCCAGACTTATGGAAATACTGCAAGAATTAGACAGGGAATGCTATACCACACTGGTTGGGTGATTAGTTGGTACAGATGCTTAATTGAGTTATTTGGAAAATGTCCAGTGATCATCAGTGGTATAGATGATAAGACAAAAAAAAACTTGGAGGACAAGTTAAAAAGTGTCAGCAGACTGTCATGCTTGTAATAGTTCATGTTATTCTTACCTGTATTTACTTTGGTTTGCATAATATTTTGCAATCTGCATTAAATTGCATGTGTTGGATCACGAGGAAGGCGAAAGGTAACATAATGGGCAGAGAAGCAAGTCAAAGAGAAATGACTTTGGTATTAACATCTGGAAAAAACACAGAACAATGACTTTATACTCATTCCACATTTGCAGGTTCATGAAAAATAAACAAATTCAGTGCTAATGCTGTGGTAAAAGGAAATGAATCAAATAAACTGTGAATGTTCAGATGGAGAATTTTAAGATCTTAATATATACACAGTCCAAGGCAAAGTAATGAGATGAGGCTGATTTATTTATGTAGCTGAGATGGTGAAATCCTGTCCTGTAGATGAATATGTTGAAGGGGATATGTGTTCATTATATGCAACAAATGACCATTTGTAACAGTTAATTCAGGTTAAAATTCATTTGGGATGGTCTGCAGACCTCAGTCTCACTGAGTAAGTGTTTGCTATCACAAAGAAAATGCAGCTTTTATAAAAGCTGTACTGAATCTGAGAGTGGGTTAGAAAGAAAGTCCTTACATGAAGAATGTGCTCACAGTTAAGTTGCTTGGCTGTGTGAAATAAAGGAATTGTAGGTTGTTTGCTATAAGGATGTGCCACACATTGGAAATAATAGGTGGTGTGCTGATCCATCAGAATTTACCACAGATTGTTGTAGCTGGTTAGGAGAGCTTGTGTGTAATGGAACATGTATTTCCTTACCAGTCAGGAAAGTGTGACTGAGCATAACCTGTTCTGCCTAGTGCCAAAATTTGTCCTTCATGGATCATCTTTTTTGTGTACAAATCTATGAGCTGCTAAAAGGAACTGATTTTTGTTAAGCTGCAAGAATGACATCTTCAGAACTACTGGATTAAAAATCTACTTACGGAAGCTATGTTCCTGCCTCTATCATTGAAACATCCAACCTGCTTCTCCTCTGACTGACTATCTGATAAGAATAGGGGAAAAAACAGAGGAAAAAATGTGTCGCTTGCCAGAAAGCTCAAACAAGAATGCAAATCTCTGTTCTGTTCCTTAGATAGAGACTGCAGATATTAACCTTACTCACTCTTTTAGATAAATCCATCAACTTGCATTCGCCAATGAACTAGATGCAGATCTTTAATAGAAATGGTTTATGCTAGATTCCTGGAACCTGAGCACCAAATAGATTTGCTGCTGTAGACTTTTTCAGCTGCATCTTTTGTTTACAGTCCTGTTGAAGTCCTGATCAGAAGTCAACCTATAGAGAAGTCTGAGATTTCTGGCTGTGTAATGTTTTTTTTTTCTCTTCTTTTTTAACATAAAAAATGTAGGATAAAGGAAGATAAATCTGACAGTTGTTATGATGAATCCAGCCAAAGGAGCAAAGGCCCATATGAAAGACAAAGGCTCAAACCTTCTGCTAAAGAAGAAGATAATCCAGATGCTGATACTGACTTAGAAAGTGATAGCAATGATGAGAAGAGACATAAATCTGTTAAAGTGAGTTTGAAAAAGAAGAAAAGGAGAGCCTCCTCTGAGAGCAGCGAGGAGGAGACTAAACGTCACAAGAGCCAGAGGCATTCCAGGTCACCGAGTTCGTCCAGTGCGGAGGAAGAGCTGCGCACAAAAGACCAGACAAACCATGTCACAAAGAAGGGAGAGGGCAGACCAAGCAGAAAGGGCTGTGATGAACAATACAGGGGAAAAGACTATCAGAGAAGTAGGACCCATGAAAAGGATCATCAGAAGGAAAAGGAAGAGCGACACAGATATGGGGATCACACTGGTAAAGACTATTACAGGAGAAGGGAAGAGCAAGATGATAAACAAAGGGAGAAGGAAAGAAAAGAGAGGGAGGGGCATGGTAGAGAATGGAGGAAGGCAAAGGAGAGAGAGGAGAAGTGTTCAGAAAAGGAACGAGAAAAAGAAAGAATAAGAACTGGTAAAGATAGATCCAGTGACAGAGAGAAGGAAAGAGGGGAGAAATGCAGAGAGAAGGAAGATCGTTCAAAGGAGAGGAGAGAGAAAGCTAGTAGTGATGAAAAATACAGGGACAGGAGGGAAAGCAGTCCTGCAGCTTTAGAAAATGATGACACTGATCTGGAAAAGGAGAGAAAGGGAAGAGAGAGAGAGGTGGATGAGAAGAAAAGCTCCAGCTCTGGGAATTTGTCTGGGCAGAAACGTAAGGATGGAGAAGGGGAGAAAGAGGAGAAAGAACAGACACAAAAACCAGCTGAGAGCATGAGCAAATTTGCCAAACGGAGCAATGAAGAGACTGTCATGTCAGCAAGGGACCGGTACTTGGCAAGGCAGATGGCACGTGTTGGTGCTAAATCTTACATTGAGAAAGAAGAAGATTAATGTCACTGTAGTGGACAAAAACTCTTGGATTCTCAACCAAGAGGAAAATCCACTGCTTCATGGACATTTGTACAGAAGAGCTTCCTATTTATTTTTAGGTTTCATAAAATACATTTTATGTGCTATAGTAGAACATCTTTTGAAATGGATTAATTGATCACTTGATGCACACCCTCCATCAGTTTGTGCAGTCAAAGTATTAAATTTTGTCTAAATCAGTCCAGCTTTATCTTCAGTATTTTTCATCTGAAGATTCTGGGGAGTTATAGGAATATTGAACAGCTCAGGTGAGAATGCTCCCCCAGGCAGCTCCTATCCTCTGCAGTTGGATCAGAATGAATTCCTAAGCTCTTAATGCTTTGAGAGTCTCAGGCCTTACCAAGAGTTATCAGCGCCCAGCAAAGCTCTCAGAAATCATAAACACCTGTAAAAGAGGGGAAAATGGCAACGGAACAGCCTGGAAAACAATCCCTGTATGTAACGTGGTGTTTTGTAAGCTAATGCATACTGACATATGGATTTTGTAAATACGTTTGGGTTTAGTTTTAGGAACCTGATGTACAGAAATAAAGTGCAAGGTACATACTGTGTCCAACGTGTGGGTCATTTTGAATGCTGTTATATAGGTAATAATGTCATCTTTTTTGTGTGTGTGAAATAAGGTCTTTTCTCATGTATTGCATTCATGTCTGCTTGTTCTGGAGGTAGTATTTTAGGTATGTCCATCTGTCCATCCATTAGCAAGAAGTTATCTTTGCACTATAACTTGGTAAGTAGGATATCTGACGACAGTCACAGTTAATAGGTTGTGTTCTTAATGCTTTTCACAATGTTCTTTTTTCCTGTTGTTATTTGTGTGGTGGCAGTGCTAAATCATGTCTTGAACCAGTAATTGAGCAGCTTGTGGGAGGGCAGGGCCAACCCAGGGGAGCTCAGGTACAAACAATTCACCTGAGTGACCAGAAGGGATAAAGCCAGGATCCACCCCTTCCCAGACCTCATGTAAGGGCTGGCAGGGGAGGTGAGGTGTCTTGTTGGAGATCCCTGCCTACCTGAGGCCTTCCAGAGGTAAGCAGCTCTTCTTCATTTTTGCATCTGTGGCTGCTCCTGTTCCTGTGCAGTATTTGAAGATGTTGGACTGGTGTCTTTTTTTTCTCCTCCAGATCACTTCAACTTATTTTATTTTCCAATAAACTTCTGACGTAGTAATTCTTCTAAAAACTTCTGTGGTGCTTTCACAAATATGATTTTCATAGCACAGATCTTGTAAGTTGGTCATTTCCTGCTTTTTGGGAGACTTGAAATGTGTTAGGAAAGCACATGGTGTGATTCACTTCACTACAGCAGTTTGTAGTAGGAAGAACAGCTGAGTCATTTGTACTTTTGTAGCATAGTTTTGGTAAATGCTGCCAAAACTCCTGGGCTCCTTTTTGACACGTCATAGAGTATATTTCTCAGAATAGAACCAATTGGATTTTTTTTCTGATCTTCTACCCTTTCTTTGTGATACAGGAAAAGAAATACAGTGTTTGATTTCCTTTTTCTGTTTCTCTTCAAAACCATCTTTCCTGTCAGCAGGTGTTCAGTAGTGAGAACAGAGACAGTCTTTATTTTCTTGATCTCAGAGTCAAAGTGTAGACAGAGTTTGAGTTTCTGAGATGTTCTGTGTGCGCTGTCATCATCAGTCAACTCTGGTCTTTTCTCTAATATTTTGTTCAGCAAACTTGGTGATCTGAGTTAAAATGTCAGTGCAAACTTTAAATGCAGTTAAAGACCTGAAGTGGAACAAGCTTTACACTTGCTGTAGTCGGGTAGCTAGGCTCTTAGTCTGAGTGTAGATGATTTTTGATACTCTGTCTAAACAAATGTCATGTTGGTTCTGCTGTTGGAATAGAATGAAAGCGGAGCATTTCACAGTAGATGGGGTTCAGAGAGCAAACAAAATACTCTGCTTTTTGTCAGAGGCCATGCTGATGTAGTAAATTGGACTGCTCGTCCTGGAATTGTTATCTTTGCTCTAATGAAAAGAGACCTATTGCAGGCCAGCGTGAAACTCCCCATAAGAGAGAGGCACAAGAGACATCTACAGATGGATTATGATTATTAAATTTATTACAATGACAGTTTACAGTACAAGGCACATACTGATAACTTACAATCAGCTTGCAACACTTGTAACTAAACAGCTGCATAAATTAATACAGATGCATCCATGTAAAAGTTGGAGGGAATGCCTAATTCTGTACAGCTAAAACTCCAGTTTAATTCCTGCTTGAAAGGAACGCGTTCCTCCATTAGCAATTTCATTAACTCCTTTTTCAGTGTTCCTCATAGAGTGGGGTGTACTGGTGTGGCAGATAAGTGGAATGTGAGCTGAGGAGAAGGGATTTCCTTGCCTCTAACACTTGGAATTGCAGTGCAGCCCATTTGGTATCTAATTAATTGTGTTTCAGACAAACAAAGTTATCAGAGATAGCATGAAATGAACTTTCATAAGAAAAAGACATAGAAAAGCTGAAACCAATATGCATCCAAAAATAAACCGGAACTGAATCATTGCTAATTCACCTTAATTGGAATGAAAACACAGATGGTTTTATCTTTGTGCTACTTGGGAAGGGAGAACTTGTTAGTTTACTTGAGGGCTTCCTTACCCTCGGTTCCCATACAGACCCTGCGCTGGACTGTCCTGGTGAAAAGAGGATGGAGATGTGATGTCCCTGCTGATCTTCAGGGCTGCCTATCTCTGACAGTGCTTTCTGTCCTGTGCCTTTGCTATCTGCATTGCTTTTTCTGTCTGTCTGCAGGTGATTTCAGTAACTTTCATCTCCTACAGTACACCTGTAGTCAGGGTGTGTTTGTCTGGATTTTTCAGCTGAGAAATTCAGACTGAGGGAACCTGGGGCTTTTTTGGCTTCCACTAGAAAAACATGGCATTTCTTGGGCAGCTCATGAGAATTCTGTGCTACCACCTCCCAGAAAGGCAGCGTGTGTGGCACTGTATGTAGTGTCTCAATACAAACTACAGATGCCTCTTTTGCCATTTAAAATGCTGTTCCAAAGGAAGACCATGTCAGAAGTATTGCACACTAAGAAGCAGTTGTTTTAGCAGTTATTAATTACTCTGCAAATTATTCCATTAGGAGTAACAGTCCCAGCTTCAGTTTGTTTGCAAGAGCTCAAGGAGAAACTTTAGCTTTGATGCAGACAGTGCTGATGTTTAATGCAACTAATTCTGCTGTACTGTCACTGCTCTTAATTAAAGGCAGCAGAATGTCTGTTTGAAGAGACTTTTGCAAGTGGATGTGCAAAAACTGCTAAAAATTGGAACTGTAAGATTATTTATTTGATGAGCCTAGTAGGAAACAGCATCAACTGGCCAAAAATTGGTCCGTGAGAAAGATCTGCTTAAAACAAGCATGGAGGGAGAAAGGTACCTCACAATAGATGGGCAGCAGTCTGAAGAACAGAGGTGTGTGGTATTTCCTCCTTTATTTCCCACACTTGATACTGAATACAGACGTTGTTCATTTTTAATTGATGTTTTATGTGTATTTTTTTTTTTTTTTTCCAAGGAATGTACTCATAACAGGAAAGTTCATTAAAAACAATCAGTAATTTTCTCTGATTGGCAATTTGAAATCGTAGTGCATATCTAGATGAACTTTTCCTCACCACGAAGACATTTTGGAAGTAGTTTTCAGAGGGCCTGCAGGGCTAACCTTCAAAACTATTCTGTATGAGTAAGCATCCAGTAAGACAAATTTGTTTTGTTTTTCTGGTGGCAGTGCAAGAACAGACTCCCTCTTAAAAAATAGTGCAGGAGGCCTTTGTTTGTAATTTGCACAGAACAGCCCTTGTTCCTTAGGGTTATTTCCTTGTTGGGATTGAGTGCTAAAGATAAGGGAACTCGGGTCAGTAGCAGTGGTGGAAGTGAGGTGACTGCTTTCAGAAGGCAATCATAGAATCACCTCCCCTGCTTTCTTACATGCTTTGTACTGATGTAAACTCTCAGTAGGTTTCTCAGTGCCTGCTGCTACGTGTGCATGTATCGTGTCATTAATTTGTAAGTAAAGCATGAAATGCAGCAGAGGCTCTTATGTTCTATTCTACTTTTCTTAGACTTTTATAACCTACATGGTAGAGTGAAAATGCAGTGTCTTCACATAGACTATGACTGTTCAGGTTTATCTAAATTCCCATGTAACTGCAGCAAAACTGCTGTCCTCCAGCTGATTTGGCAGTGATGGTCAGTTTATAGAGCAGCTGTAAACTGCTGGGGGCATATGTACAGATATAATATGGCAAGGTTAGTACATACATGAAAGTTAGTTAGTTTGTATGTCATCAGTGCTTCAAAATCTAATGCAATCAGTTCTGATCAGAATCTCCTGATGAACTCAACTGCTTGTTAAAGAAAAAACCCTACTGTTATTCTTCAGGGTGAAAACCAAATGTATTCACATAAGAGTAGGAGCTAGTAAGTCTTGGCAGTAGGTTTGTGTAAACGTACTTCTGTCAGCCAGCCAAAAGGGTTGCTCTAAACTTGAGGTCTGTACCAGGAAACAATAGAGAAAGCCACAGGCTCCAGCCAATCTTAGCTGAGGAACTGAAATTTAAAAAATAAACAAAGAAAAGCAGATCTGTGAGAGTCCACTTTTTGACATCTGAGCTCAAAGTAATTCATTATTGGTATATAGTTTCCTTGGGTATAAAAGCACGGTCTGCGAGTACAAGGATTTTGTGAACATGTAGCTTAGCTGTGCTAGCAGCTTCAGTGCTTGTCAGATGACCTGTGAACCTTTTTGTTGCTTGACTACGAAGCCCACATTACAAAAACTGGTTTTGTAGCCTTAAACAAGAAACAACAGAAACATACGATCTACAAATGAAATGAGGAGGATAACGTTACCAAATGTGCATGCTGATTTGTGCAGAGCTGCGTATAGTGCTGCTGGAGATTGCTGCCTCTTCCTCTGACGACTCCACTACAAACCCAGGAGTTGGAGAACTTACTGATTAGTTTATAAAACCCTGTGTTACTTGAGTAATATATGGCTATTGGAAATATTTTTGTATTTTTCAATGTAGTTGAAGCAATTAGAACCTTAGAAGCAAATACAACATTGCCCGGTACGAACGATTACACTGAGGAAGATACAGGAGAACTGCCACAGACTTGAGATTCTAAACCTAATCCTACCGCTGCTGCTCATCCTAGAGAGGCTTCTGCAACAGCCCCACTGTTGTGCCATCTTCACACACACAGACATCCTCGTGTTTCCAGAATGAGTTGGTTCCCAGGTCAGTCTGGTTAGAAGTGCATGGCAGGTTTCATTGAATTGCTTGGATAGATGTGTTGGAGGCATCATGTTTCCAAATGTCCGTTGTCAGTGTCAGAACCTCCACAGAAAACTCACCCCGTTGTTATCTCAGCTGGAAGCATAATTCCTTGGGTGGAAAGTTCTTTTCTGTGCTTCCCCTCTCTCCCCACAAAGCAGGTTAGCTTACACTGCGTTCATGCGGATGTCTCCAAAAGGAATTTCTGTGGCTGTTTCTGGAGTAATGCTTTTCAGAATACGCTGTTGGAAAGAGATCAGTATTAGAAGTTCATTCATTTAGAGCTAATAAATAACGTTTCAAAACCCTTTCCAAATGGTTGCAATAAAAACACAACTGGTTTGAGTTACACTTCTTACTACTTCTTACAGCTAAAAGGCAGAAATGTTGCAGGGTGATGTTACCTTTGCACAGTGGTGCTGTGGAAGTGCACGCTTATTTATTAATGCTCTGTAGTAGATCCAATCTGATTCCAAGGTTGACAGCTGTCATACTCATGCTTCAGGACTTGACTTGAGCGCTCTGAGTTTGTTGGACACATTCTCTCAGAACTGGTATTTAGAAGAACTTACAAGAAATACCAAAAATGGCATCACAGGCTGCCATGGATTTATGGCAGAGAACCCTTATTAAGTGTGGGACAGAAAAAGAAACTTGTTCTTGTAAGCACACCCAAGGGACCCAATCTGTCACTGGCTCGCATGTGTGATTTCTAGGGAAAGCTTCCAGTTCAGCAGAGCATAAAAAGAAACACTCGATTCAGTAAGTGGATGTGAATGTATCTCAGCCCCTCAGCGAGACCTGGGAGATTTGTAAATCACTCCAAATGGGTGAAAGACAATTAGCTGTTAGCAAACAGCCTGGGGCATCAAATCTTAGAAAAAATGACACACAGTACTTATAGAAATCACTTCCTTCCTAATGGACACAGCAGAGCCTACTGGATACCTCCTTAAATGTTCCGGGAGTGATGATCAACCGATAAACCATGTAGATCGGGATGCAGATGATGGAAGAGGTTCCTATGCAGTAGCCCACTACTGTGGTCCAGTAGGGATAGTTGTAATCGAAAAGCCGTAGCTCAGGAGGGTTGGACAGAAAGCTGCAAGTGACAAACTGGAAAGGAAACAAGAAAAGTTTCAGCATGTTTTGATAGCACACGCTGTTCCTTCAGGGAACTCCCTGTGCCAGCATAGAATTAAACTTAAAAAAAAAACACAACCAAACAACAAAAAACCAGAGCAGGGCTTGAGAAGGATGAAATGTGTATTGCTCCTGAAAAAATCTCAGATGACATTAATGTAGATTAAACGAAAAGCTTATAGATATCAAGACTTAAGGAAATTTAGAATTGCTCAGGAACTTGAGGGTATAACCCAAGCAGTAACGGAAAGCTGAGAAGCATGGTGTGACATTCCAGCTTTGAACACAGCATTGTGTTTTCTCATTCATTTGGGTTCTACAACTATTGCACTTGTGCACTCTGAAACAAGTAGGGGGGAAAAGTAATCTGTGCTATAGCAATTAAGAAATGATGTGGGAGGAGAAGGAATTTTTTTCTCTAGGACACATCTTAATGATTCCCAGTTTGTTCCTGCTGTATGATTTCTTTCCTACTTCTGACTCTTTCCAAATGATGCATTAAGAAATGCTTCACTACCGTTTATCACTTATTCATATCTGCTGAGCATTTCCTTGCCCTATAATCTGAGCGTGGCTTTTATTTTTACATACAATCAAAACAAATGAGTGGGTTTTTAAGGTTAGACAAACATTACATCTTCCACGCATTTTACGGTGTGCCAGCTACACTGGTTGTATTTGTGTCCTTTTTATCAGTGAGCAACTTCCCTAAGGGTCTGGGTCCCTAAGGAATATTCTTGGAATGAAGCACTTCTGAGTAACTCCGGGGTTGCTAATCTTCAATGAGGGCACAGCACTGCAGTGCTGTGCAAAGTTTGTGCAAAGCATGCCTGCTTTTCAGTTCTGCTGTTAAGTCTTCCCCATCCCATGCACTCCCAGGAGGAAAACATCATATAATTAACTCTTACTCAGAATTTGATTCATTTTCTTTATTCTGCTTTCCCTTCATGACTGTGAGATTCTCGTGAAACAAGAAATGCTTTGCAGCTGAATGCCACATGAGTAATGTTGGTGACTGCTCTCAGAAGGATCTCTGAACTGTGTTTTTTTCCAGATTAGCATCAGAAGAGCGGGAGTACCACTGAAATTTCCATAGCAAAATAGCATAGTACCTTCTGGGCTTTCCTTACTTTAGTTTAGCTTCTGCAGAGAACACAAATAGCTCTGCCTAGTAACCACAGCACCAGAGCTGTCTGCTTTATTTTACTGGTTCAGGCTCACAAAGAGGACAGTAGTTTAAAAATCATTTCTGGCATTCTGGTGCTTTCATTTATAACCTTTTTTTCCTTCTTTTTCTGTGGGTAATAAAATAAAAATCTGTTAGAGACGCATTGATCATTACAGCAGAGTTTAGAATTCACTCTGCAGGTCTTCAGTCTGCATTCAGTGCTCATAAACTCCATGTTGACCTGCTCTGCTCCCGGCAACTATCAAAGATAGCACAAACCCATTTGGGATCAGGAAATGAACACTTGATGTTACAACATTATTAATAGTACTGCTAAGTCAAACATGGAGTCAGGATTTCCAATCTCAAATTATAGATTTATGATGGTTGCAATTAACTGCTGCAGATGCTACGTGGGATACTCTGAAGTTGTCAGTCAGCAGATACTGGGGCCCTGTGTTTACTTATCTTGGGTTTCCTCCCAGGCACTGTTTCATCACCATCTTTTATTTTCTATGGCAAACGTAAAACAACAAAACAAAGTAATCTTTGCCCATGAGGGGGGAAGGAGTTATTCCAAACCCAGGCTTGTTTATCTAGCTGGTCTACCAACGCCCTTAAAATTGTGATTTAGTAACCAGACCTTGCAGCACTGTGTTGGATTTTTCACTAATTAAGCATTTTTGTTTTAACAAGAATTGTTACTAAAGAGCTTCCTAAGAGAATTCTGTAATTAAGCTTTTAGATGTCTAAGGAACCACGTTGTTCAATGGTAATTTTGTCGTACAGGGGAAGAAAAAAAAAGAGAAAAAAAAAACCCAAACAGATACGAAGAAAACTCACCAACAGGAAGATGGGACTGATTGCCACCCAGCACACTCGCCAGTACCAGCCCGGGGTGAAGCCCAGCATTTCTTTCACATCATTGCAAAACTGGGTAATGCCTGTGGGGACAAATGAGGAGAGTGGGGACAGCAGGAAGGAGTCCTTCGCACAGAGATGCGTGCACAGCAAGGCAGCACAGGGCCCAGCCTGAGTGCTGTTTGTGCCTTAGCTACATGGAACCCTTAACAGTTCTGAATACCTCGTTACTTTCAGACCTTAGCCTGCTTCTCTCAGAGCCATCAGTAGTCATTCTTACGGATTTGGTTAACAGCAAGTTTGTGGGGAGGGGAAAAGAAAGAAAAGCCAACGTTTTCCTGAGACATCAGAGGAACTGTGGCTCAGTGGGACCCAGCAGCAACGCACGTACCGTAGAACCAGGCCACTGCCACCGCTTCCAGGAACACCACTGTTAGCACAGCTGGGCCTGTGGCGTATTCCTCAAACAGCTTCACCACATAGGCGCCTCCCTGCAAAGGACATGGTGCTGTCAGTGACCCAGAGATCCAAGGGTGGAAGCCTTGGGATGCTGCTTTTTATTACTGCCTTCATCTGAAGCAGAGCGTTCACAGATGGGTGAGTTCTGCTGCACTGTGAGCTGTGCAGTCCTTGGCTGCGCTGCTGTTGCTGTGCGTGGATGTAGTCCAGCAGTGGGGCTGCCATGCAGAAGAGCTAAAACTGAATCTTATGGCTGTTCTCATTGGATTTTACTGAACAATTGGGACTTGGTGCAGTGTGGCAGGGTGACTTTTTGCATGCCTCCCGTGTCATCTTCCTCCAACTTGACTCATAGCTCCCAGATAGGAAACAAACAGGGCGTTGCTTCGCTTTCTTACCACTTGGGATACCTAGAACCAGCTTAAGGAGGAAGAGTTTGTGTCTCAGACAGGAACTACGTCTACTTTTACAGTAAATGCTTCAATTAGAAGGTGGTTGTGTGTGAACAAGTGGAGTGAAACACAACAGGAAACCTGTGTGCGGTTTCCTTGTCCCTTTGTTCTCATAATTCAAAATTTTGCTTGCTTTGAAAACGAAATCCCACAAGCCGTGAAGGGACGATGTATGGGGGAGTGCTGGAGCTTTGCAGCCTGATTGGAGGAGGAAGATTCAGGTCATTTGGCAGAAATTTGCAGAGAGTGCTCCAGCAACAGTCAATTACAGCCATTTCTCATGGATAACTTTTGACCACTCTTTTTTTTAACGCCATGTATGTTTCTAACACTGGGAAAATGAAAGTAACAATCCTTTATTTTTAAACATGGAGGTTGGGAGAGGGAGAAGCAAAGCACACACACTGCATCAAAACACCCCTGCTTGCTGACTTAGCAGCTGGAGCAGTGGCTGTGCCAGTTAGGATTTGCATCAGAGTTATGCTGAATTGCAATACAATCGTTTTGCAATTAGTGAGAGATAATGTTCACATTTGGAGATTCAATCCGACTTCTTGAATCTCTTTTAAAACAAAAATACGACCCTCTCCAAGATGTCAGATGCAGGAAACTGCCAGTGAGGAAAGGTGAGGATGGGGTGAAATACTTACAAAGGTCAGGGTTGCCAACGACCCCAAAAAGCAAATGATGATCAGTCCGAGGACAAAGAATTCCCTGCGCTTGCTCCAGACATGTGGGAATTCATCCAGTACTCCTGTAATCACTCCCTCTAATCCTGCAAACTGAAAAGCATGCAAAAATTAATGGAGAACAGAGGGCAGTTTTACCTTGAAGAGGAGTTGTAGCCATTGAAACACTGTGTTTTACTCTTCCTGTAGAGCTGGCACAATTCAGACTTGCTTCAGAATGTTTTTAGCTCTTTAAGCAGGAATTGAGTCTTCCCATTTCAGTAGGAAGTGCCCATCCTCCAGAGGAAGTGGCTCAGTAGGACTAATTGTGCAATCACTGTGTTGAGCCTTCCTAGAAGGAGCTGATTCTCAGTAAAATAGACTCATGTGGCAATTTTTAGAAGAACTCTGTATTGCAGTGCTGTGAAGGAAGCTTTCTCCACTTTCCACCATTTAAATAAAATTAGTGTGAAAGAGCATCAAACGGGAATTCATTCACTGATTTGTAAGCTTACCAGTACAGGACAGATGGAGCCCATAAGACTGCATACAGTTCATGAATCATGTGCTTCAGCTGTGCTCCTAGGTCTGCTACTATTTATCACAGTGCAACCATGACAGATCATTTAATCTTATTTAAGACTCTGTTTCTCCATTATGGAGCAAGAGTTTCTATCTTACGGAAGGCATGAGGAGATGCCAGTCCTGCATTAAACTCTTCAGTGACAGCCCTGTGTTTGTAATTCTGCTCCTCCTGGTGTTGGCTGGGGTAAGGAATACACCACACAAATCATTCATCCATCTCTCTCAAGTATTGTCTACTCACCGTGCTGTCTAATCCCAGCGTGAGTAACATCAAGAAAAATATGATGGCAAAGAAAGTTGAGGCAGGCATGTTTGCAATGGCTTCAGCGTAGGTAATGAAGAGCAGACTGGGTCCTGGTGTTAGAGTGGAGAAGCAGAGAGACCTGTTAGTGCTGCCGTGGGGAGGACAGGTTGTTCCATTTTCCTGCAGAAGGCTTCTCCCCCTGACTACGTCCCAGCGTGCAGTTAGAACAGTGCCATGGAGCTGCATGCATGACTTCCATACGCTGGCATTATGGAATAGTATTTTAGCTGCACTGTGCCTTTATCATACCCTGAATTACATACCAAACATTTGACAATCTTATCCACTCATTCAAGTTGTTAGGTCTCTCAATGTAGAATACACAACTACGTTCTCTTAGAAGTCAAAAAGCCTACCCATGTCTTTGGCAACCTCCGACACATCTTCATTCCTCATCTCAGCCATGTACCCCAGCACAGTGAAAATGACAAACCCGGACACGAAGCTGGTCAGGCAGTTCACAGTGCTGGTAACCAGGGCATCTCTGCAACAGAACACCCAACTCACATCAGGGAATCAGCATCTGCTGGGGAGGGCAGCGTGCTGCCAGGTGGGGGCAGCGGTTGAGCTGCACTCCTGCAGCAGTCTGGGGAATGCAGTGGAAGGAGCAAGGAGTGGATTTTGGGAAGGAAACAACGACAAAGCGACTTCTCATTGTTTTTCCTAAGGAAGAGCTTCAGACAGGTTGTAACGTTAGTCTGGCACGAGATTAAATGCTGGGTTTGTGCTTGCAGAAATACCAGACTTCTAAAATGACAGGAATGGCTCTAGGAATATTAAAGAAAGAAGACATTCTTTAATTTTATAAACAGTTTTTTTAAAGGAAACAATTACAAACTGCCTTTCAGCTTAGGGCTCTAAAGTCACACCCTGGCTGACTAAGATTCAGCAACTCTCATCTATTGTCAGGGAGCTGTGCCATTTTGTTGTGGCAGGTTTTACATGCTGCCCTCCTTGCTGTCATTGGTAGAGATTACTTCTCTTCAAGGTAGGCACAACAGAAAATGCTTGGGCTTGCAGTTTCTTTGTTCTGTTGTGCTGCTGTCTGGTTTATATATATAAAGGTCTGACAATTCTGTGTCTTTCACTGGCACTATTTCCTTTTCATAAAAAACAGCACGTATGTAAAGCTGAATTTAGTACATAAAATGAGGTAGAACTCACTGGTAGCAGTTGTTATGGAATTTGTTGTAGCTGGCATAAGCCAACAGGACCCCAAACCCTGGGCCGAGGGAGAAAAAAATCTGAGCTGCTGCATCCACCCAAACCTGGAAAATGATAAAAATCAAGAAAAAAAGGTAATGAGACAGATGGGATGAGATTGGCAGATTCACAGTATTATTTAGCCATACAAAGTTGAGCGTCACTCGTGTGCTTATGTTCTAGTCCTGGTCTAACAAAGGCTTCGTTAAGAAAGTATGTTGGAATGTGAGTTTTTTCTTGAGATTTCTTGAGGAAGGTGTTAATATCTACTACAGTTTGGCTGTCTTTGCTGTTCTGGTTTTCATTGGTGATGCAATTAGGATTTATATCAAAAGAATTTACCACGGATAAAGAGCTGTTGCATTTCTTTACACACTGTAAGTATCCCTTCTGCCAGCACCGCAGATGATTTGCCTGTAATTGGGTTACCCCAGCTTCTGCAGTGTATGGAGAGCTCTGCTCGTGGTTTGGTGGTGGACTTGGCCCATCTTTCTCTGTGTGCTGTGCAGTAGCTCAGTGTTTGGCTGTGTGTCCTCTAGGCTGAGGCTATTCCTAGGCACACAGTTCACATTTTGTAGTGTGGATGCAGCTGCAGTTCGAGGGACTCCATCCAGCTTTGTTGCAGCAGTGATAGATGCAAGTGTGATGATTTGTAACAAAAAGCTTGTTGTACTTGAAGAGTGTTTGCAGCCTTAATGAGTGGTGTTCCTAAAGTGCTAATATCAGCTCTCTTTCTGAAGGTGAAAGTCCTCGTTTGTTTATCCTCTTTTGATTGAAACCTGGAGTTCATTACCACTCATTTCTAATACTCTGCCATCGTGTGAGGCCATCCTGTATCAGCCACAGACAGAACTCTGTCATCGTCCAGCACACACAGATTGTGATCTGCTGTCCTCACTTCAGATACATCCAATACAATATCAATGCCCTTTATTGCTTTTTCAGAAGATGTGGTCCCTTATTGAAGATGCTGCTTTATCAGAGACTGGTGTCTTTTCATTTCCTTTTCATTCAAAACTCTCCATATCAGCTGGGGAACAGCAGACTTGCAAACATCAGAATTTTTAATCTTTATATTTGTAGTATTTATTGCTTTGGGGTTTTTCCATCGCTCTCTCCACTAGAGGCTTTCTTACACAGGGACCTCAGTGCAGCCTCCAGCTTGATGGACTACTTGTCATCCACAGAGTTCAGAGCTGAATCAGATAGTGGAATGGATTGGCTTTTTTTTTTCATTAGCTCAGTCTTGTCCTCATCCTTCCTTTCTTTTCAAACCCTGGTGGAGTGTGCAGACCCAACTGATCCATTGCTTCTCCAGTGCCCATGTCCACTCATCACCAAGTCATGCTTTAGTTGGCAGCTAAAGAGACCCTCCCTGGGCTTATCTGCCAGAGTGTGTCACAGGATGGAGACTTTACATTTCAGCTCTGGTAACTATAGACACCATTGGGTGTGGGAAAGTCTGCCTGAGCATGCAATGATCCCCTCACCATCAAAACAACTGCAGCTAATCCGGATGGTAGATTTAGTAAATGTCTCTGTGACAGCTATAGGCCAAGGACTGTGTTGTTGTGTAGCAGCAATCATTGTAGCTTCTTGCACAGTGCTGGGCTGTTTGTTTCACTGTTCAAGCTAAATTCACGATGAACTTAAATAGCAGAACAGAACCAGGAACGCCATCTAACCTTTTAAAAATATCTATATAGTTATGGAAAGAATAGGACTGCTTAAACGAGAGCATGATGTCCATGCTAAGACATCTATATAATCATACTCCATGTTGAAAGTACACACTGTGGTACACATGCTGAAAGGCTACACGTGAGCCCCAACTATTTCATAGTGTTCTTACCTCAGTGGCCAGGAGCTTCTGCCATTCAGGTTTCAGGTAGTAGAGGACACCTCTCCAGGCACCGGGCAGAGTCGCCCCTCTCACTAGCAGGATAAAAAGTATGACGTAGGGGAACGTGGCTGTGACCCACACCACCTGCCAGGGAGAACATTGAGATAGCGTTTGCCATGGGCAGAAAATTAAGAGATGAGAAGAATTCATGATAACTTTCAAATGATAACTCTTAGCCTTTATAACATCTTCATATGAACTTTCTCAAAAGCTCTGTAAGCAGATTGCAGATAAATATCCATGCTTTCTCTGTGTGGGTTGTTCTTGTGCACAGAACTGTGGCATAACTTATTGTTACGTATTACTTGGATAACAGTAGCAGTCACTCTGCAGCAAGGGCTTCCCAAATAAGTGAAGCTGCAGTCTCTGCCCTGAAGACAGTCTGGGATAACTATCGTGTTAATTGGCTCCTTTAGAACTTGTGCTAGGCTGTACTGTACCAAGTGATTTGTCTTGCTTTTGCATTCACCTTGCCAGATGTTTTGACCCCTTTCCAGATGCTGAAGTATACAATGATGAAGATTAACAATAAACAGAGGGTCAATTGCCAGCTAATGCCCCCCAGGTCATCCAGCCCATTGGACCTGTGCACCTGTAGAACTTGGCGGCTGAAAGAGGAAAGAAAAACACAGTGTAGATATTTTTGTTACAAATATGTTCAGTATGCTTTGAGCAGTCCCTTTCTGTGGTCTGAGCATTACAAGTAGTCCTGAGGCCTTGATAACTAGACTTCAGAGTCATTCTATTCTGGATTTTTTTTTAACTCACAGGCCTGATATTAACAGTACACCAGTGTTGATAAATGGTAAATATTGACAGTTGATAATGGCCAGACAATTGGGAACCTGCAGTCTAAAATACAGAGTACCCTTCCCCACACCCTAAGCTTACGTTCCCCTACAGGTATTTAGTTACTTGAATAGTTTAGAAAAGAGTACCATTACTAACCACCTCTGCTCCCCCTCCAAAGAAAAGCTTGCTATGCGTTTCACCATTCTGTCTGACGTTACTGTCCTCACTTACATGCACTTACGTATAAAATTCTTCTGCAGGAGAGATGGAGTGCAGGGCCCAGCTGATGTTGTCCTTGCTGAAGTAGGTAGTGCAGTTGCCTGTGTTCCATGCATTATTGCAGCTGGTCCACGGCAGCTCCGTCGTGAAGGAGGACACGAGGTAGTAGAAGACCCACGCCATGATGGTGTTGTAATAGGAGGCTACATAGAGGTCTATGACACAGATGGCAAAGCCAATGCCTAGTAGGTTAGGAAATAATGACATGAAGTGAGTGTAAGTCAGGCCACAAAAAGGAAGGAATTGGTTATTCACATCACCCACAATTAGTAACCATGAAGGCAGCTCTGCAGGAGGTACACGTACCCCGTCATGTATCTACAGCACTGGAATTTCTTATGGCTTCAGAAACACTCGTGTTCTGTTTCCAGAGGAACATTCTTAATCAAGACAATATAGAGAGTATAGGCTTAAATTGGTTTTTTCAGCTGCTCCTAAAATTTGGAATTTGGAAACTGCCATCTGCTACTCTTAGACCAGAACTCTGACACTGGGAGCAAGAGTAACAAATGCATAGAATAGCTCCTACTACATTATTTCTATTTCTGTAGGGAATCTTCTTTCCTGTTCTCAATTTTGCCCAGGATTCAGTAATTCTGTGCTTATTTGTTCAATTACATGGGTTGTGTTTTTTGTTTTTTGGGGTTTTTTTGGTTTGTTGTTTACTTTTTTCAAGCTTGATTCAGAGCAGCTTCTATCTAATCTAAGAGTTGTGTGACACTTATGCATGAGAGCACACACACATCTACAGATGTACATAAAGCTTTATGAAAACTTTCTTTGTAAAGCCAAAATTGTGTGTAGAAGTAGACTGACTTTGTCCTAGCCTTACTTTGCTCTGTTGTTTTCAGATATTATTATTTTGTTTTTAGAAAATACATCATTATCAGAAGATCTTACTCGGAAAGTTCCTTCTAATTTTCCATTTCCCTTCATTACCTTTGAATATAGGACATATTTTTCTCCAAATTGAAATACAGCCATTCCTGTGGTACTGTCCTAGTGCTAATTCCATATAGAAGAGCGGAATACCACCGAAGATGGCCATGATTGTGTAAGGAATGAGGAATGCTCCTGCAAGAGACAAAGCAGATCATTATAACTCTTCATAGGACTTCTCTTCCACTACTTTCAGCACTCCGTGGACAATTCCTTTCATTCATTTCAGGGAAAATGCACGTCCCCTCCCTAGCAGTGTGCCATACTGCGTTACCACGGGATTTCTCACAGCTAACTGCACAGCAGTGTGAACAAGAAGTGACACTCAGGCCAAACTTCTCATGTTTCTGCAACAAGTTTACATGGGGTTCACAAAGATTGCACTGCCTCTGTAGTACAAGGTGAGACGAGATACAGACAGTCATGAATTTCTTTGCTAGAATGCCTGAGCACATCAGGGATGCAGAAGTCTTTTCTATTCAGTCTCTCCTTGAGGAGATTTAGATTTTGGCTGGGACATCTGTGAGTCTCAGTCCCAGCTTTCCTGAGGAGTGTTTTGAGAAGTTGGTTTATCTGGTTTTAAATACTCCTTGGGACAGGGCTCAAATCTTTTCTTTCAGGTTTCTCTGCACATAACCAGTGCTCAGCTCCTGGTTGTTCTCTTTTTTTGATATCTTATCCTATTCCGTGGTTTAAGTTTTCCAGTCTGCTTTCAAAGTAATTAATTTCCTGTTATTGCTATGCCATGTATGATACTAAAATAAACTACTAAACTAATCCATTAGCAAGCAAGGAAGCTGAACGTTAAGGAACAGAACACAGAACTGGCCACTGACCTCCTCCATTCTGATAGCATATGTAAGGAAATCTCCACACGTTTCCCAGATCCACCGCGTATCCAATGACAGAGAGCAGAAAGTCAATTTTTTTACTCCAGGTCTCTCTGTCTTCCAGCTCCATCAGCTGCTGCTGGCCCTCTGCTCCACACGTGGTGGCTGTGGTGGTTGTGGCTGCTGGGTTGGTGCACTGCGCGTCCTCCACCTCTCCCACCCCATTGCAAGGCACGGAGCTCTGAACTCCCGAATAGCCATTTGAGATCTGAGCTGCCTCCTCCTTATTTCCCTGCCCGGGATGGATTTTATTCCCATCCTCCATGAGCCGTAGGGCAGATTTAGGGTTCTTGATCAGCAGTCCGTTCTCTTTACAATCTTCTCCTTCGTTACAGTCTGAGGTACCTTTCTTGGAAGTCAGCAGCTGAGTCTCGTTGCTTGTTGCCTTTTTTTCCATTTTTCCAAGGTTTCCCCTGCCCAGTTGCACACAGGCAGCAGCACTCAGTCCCCTTCAGCTTATTTTCCCACGCTTTTATTTCCAGTGTATTCCCAGTGCTCTCAGAATTTCCCTTCCATATTTAAATCCATCAGACTGAAGGCACGAACACCATCTAAGAAATGAAACACATTACAGAATACTCTGTTACAGAGCTTATCGATGCTGGTAACGTTCATGTTACAATTTGGGCAGTTCCTGTGATTAAAATATCTTTGGAGATAGTTAACCATTACCGCATGAAATATGAATTACTGAGCAGATAATTCAGAAGGGAACCAGCGAAACTCTAGGCTGCGTGCAGAGAAAGGAAGGAAGCAGTATTAAGAAAGAAGAAATAATTAAATACTGCAATAACAGGTGTGCAAATTACATTCCACAATCGTCTTTCTTCAGAAATCCCACATCCCTGCCACGTTTAGCAGCAGATCTGGAAAGCTTAAATGAAAGTTTGGGAAGCTCGTCAACACTAATCATGAGAAAAAGAAAAAAGATTTCAGTTAGGTTGGTTAGAATCAGGAGGAAATAGCATCTAGGTCTGCTCAGGACAAAGCTTGACCCCCATGCTGCATAACTCCCTAGAGAAATAAAGGCATCTCTCATTCTGTTCGGATTCCAGCCCTGGCAGGGCAGTGGGCACGGCTCCTACAGCAAATCCCAGCCCTGGTTTTTACCTGCTCTCTTCTTACTGGCTGGAAGAATAATCCAGGGGAAACAAAGCAATCCAAAATTAAAAAAAATAATAATAAAGAAAGCAAGCAAGCAATTAATTGTTCCTTGAGAATAAAAAAGAGCAGCAAAAAATCTGTGGTTCTGTGGGTCATGTTCTTTTTTCTGCTCGTTTGTTCAGGTGCTGTAAGTCCTCAGTCAATGAAACGTGCAAACAGACCCTTTGTGCTACGAGTGCCCTGGGGCATCAGCCCGGCTTTATGGCTTGCAAAGCATTACTCCATCTACATGATGCCCCCACATAGTAAATGATGATCATTACATCTCATTCTTCCTTTTCAAAGCATTTTTCCCCACAGTAAATATGATTGCAACATCCCGTGCGGAAGAATAAGCATTATTTCACTTTCGACTCTTGGAAAACCAAAGCAGGGCGGGAATATTATTTGCTCATTGCTGGAATTTGCTCACTGCCAGAGCTATTAAAACACAGGTTTTTCCCAGCCTTCAGTCTTGTGCAGAGATTGTTTGCTAAGCCTCTTTGCAAGCAAGCAAGCAGAAAGGAAAGTTATTGAGCTGCAGAGCAAGCAGGATGGATGACCTCCTCCAGGGATGTTTTTATTACTTCCAGAAACCTCTGGGTTGCTCACACTTACTTTCTGTGCTTACCCACATAATGCTGTTTTCACCTTACAGCAAACAACGTATCATTAATGTTGGATTATTACCATGGCAGTACTTTGCTATTAGTTAATCATCACAAAGACTGAAACATCTTCAGAGCACTCCAGAAAAATACACGTCAGAGTAATGTCTGCTTTACCTGCAGGACTACGAAAACTGAATGCCTTTGGAGTCCACAACCTTCCCAGTGTCCCAAAAGAGCCTGTGTAGGTGGAACTGTGCTACCACCACTGGTAGCAACAGAAAAATCCTAGGGAAGGACAGACCCAACCCTTCTCTCCCTTGTGCATGGCACATTAATAGTAAGGAATATGGAAAAGTAACCTGAGCCCTTGTGAACTTTATACCTCTTACTCAAAGTGCAAGAACAGTAAAGGATGTTGATTTAACTGCGTTTTCTGTGAGGCTGGATTTTCTATACCATTTGCTGTATCCACAAAGCGTTTTCTTTCTATGCATAAATACTTTTTGGCACGTCCTGAGGGGCGTTTGTTGAATGTTGTGTTGGTTTCCTGGAGCTGTGACAATCGCGATTGTTGTCTTATCCAGCCCTAAGCTCCTTCTGCAGACCACAGGAAAGAAACATCACATCACTTGACATGTTTTCGTGGAATTTTCAGTAGTTTGAACCTCAGCTATGCATCGTGACTTGTGAACTTCGAGGGGCTTCTGCTGGAATTCAAACTATTCCTTTCCGACAGTAAATTCCAGCTCACCATCTACCATGGGAAATCTCCGTGGTGTTCTCAGAGCTGGCACGTGGAAAGAGAACCGTAAGGTTTCGTTACCCTTTAAAAAAGAACCGCCAACAAACAGCAGGAGAATGTACACTGCTGCAGAGTGGTGGCAGTGGCAAAAGCCGAGTGCTTGGAGTTGAGAAGTATGCTAGGATTAGTAGGGAAACAGACAGGAAAGTTGTGCTAACAAGGAAGGACTTTGCCCACTTTTGCCCCTCATGCACCCACCTCTCTGCTGCTGCGTAGGACACACTATTGTAGTGAATAATGAAAGGAATACCAGCTTACTGCCTGTTTTTTATCGGAGCTGTTGCAAAGGTTGCTCTTTCATAAGTACCTACTGGCTTCTTATCACCAACATAATTAGTGCAGAAGGAAAAAACAGAAAAACGGCACAGAGCCAAAATCACGGAACCACAGAACTATGAAGGCTGTAAGAACCTCTCAGACCCTCAATTCTAACCCATCCCCACTGTGCCCACTGACCACGGCCCTCTGTGCCACATCCCTATGGGCCTCGAACACCTTCAGGGACTCCCCCAGTTTCCTGGGCAGCCTGTGCCACTGCATCAGCTCTCTTTGGAGAAGAAACTGGTCCTAATATCCCGCATGCACTGCCTGGAGCAGCCCTGAGAAACCCTTAGATGTGCTGCAGCCACACTGGGCTAAACTGGGCAGTGAGGCTGTGTGCTTCGTGGAGTTTGACTCAAGCCACCAACGCAGTTCACATAAACCCATTATTCCATGATAATTTGCAGTTACTCCCACTCAGAGCTAGATTTAAGCCAACGGTAGAGACCCAAAGCCAACTCCTCTGCCTCTCCCAAAGCAATCCCAGAGCAGCACCCCTGTGCTGGGGTCCGGATCCTTGCTGAGCGGGGAGGCGCAGAGCTGGGCATTGCTTTGGGTGTTCCTGAGGCACGCAGTGACCTCTCGTGGCAATGTGGGAATCCCTGTCATGCTCTGCCGTGCAGTAAAGCAAATCTTCCCAGCGCATTAATACCAAATTATTTCCCAATACTCTGTATTTTTAAAGGAGAAAACTAACTCTTGCTAGGCCTTTTTGAAAACAGCACTTGGTGGTGTACAGCCTGCACCTGGGTTACAGCTGCATTCCTGCAAGAAAACCCCATTATTGCCACACCTCTGCTTTCCTCCCGTCCACTTACACCTGCAAAGAGTTAAACTACATGGAATCCCAAGACGAAACATTAATTCGTACTGCTGGCAAACAGCATCAAGTCTGAGATGATTTCTGTTAACTCGACCTAAGCTTTACTTCCATCACAGAGTATATCAGGCTGTTAGAATTACGTGGCTGCATGACTGCAAATTGCACCGTGCAAAGAAGATGCAGCTCATACAGGCAGAGGGATGTAAATGGAAAGATCCAAGGCACTGTGCTATCCATTGACCTCCACTATTCCCAAGAGGGTTTAATATGGGTAAGATGTGAAAGAAAGGCTTGAAAATGGAAGTACTGGAGAAATATCAACTTGGACTGTGAGTCTTATGTCACACTCTTGTTCATGTCTCAGCCTGAAGTTAAGGAGTCAGCAAGAAAGAGAGGATTTACCTGTAGGAATTTGTTGAGAAGAGAGACACTGTGTGGTAGCGTGAATACTGCCAAACTGCCAGCTTTCATTTAAGGAACAGAGAGGGGAGGAAAATGCATTTTATGGCTCAAGAGCGTCTGTAAGTAGTGCAAGGAAACAGATAAGCACAGAGGGAGTGATAACCCATTTGCATTCTTCCTCAAATTATTTATATCAACTCAGAGGAAGAGTTGAGCAAATACCAGCAAAGAAATAGAGCAGCACTCTGTAATGCTGCTCTGCACAGTCACCTGCTCTGCATTGCAGCTGGAAGGCCGTCTGCGTGCTCAGAGCCTGCACCTAATGCCAGCAGGCACATTGTCATGGTTATCATGCTTTTGCCTAAAGGAAGCAAGCAACCAGGCACCAGCTTCCAGATGGATGCTTTGTGATGAATCTCTCAGAGCTGCAGCCCCTCTGCTGGAGCTCTGCTGCCTGCTCCATGGGATGCTTGTCCTGCAGACGGCTGCACTGCACTGCACTGGTGCTCAGGACATAAACTGACATAAACTGCAGCAGAGCTGCAGGAACACAGCTGTGGAGCAGAGTTAACACATCAGCATCGGATGGGGCAGAGTGAGCACTTTGTTAGGCTTCTAGTGCTGTTCCTAAAACTCAGCAGATTCATCTTTCCTTGCAGGGAAGCAGGAAAGGGACTAAATACGCAGTGCATTTCCACGTGTGGGAATAATTTGGGGCTCTTATTAAATTTCTAGTTTGGAGGCAGCATTTGCCAGTTTGTGTAACGGTCTGAAATTCACCACCCCCCTGTTCCATTACAACACAGACCACAACACTTGCCAAACTCAAACGTACTCTCCAAGAAAACCGTGCTCCATCCACCACTCATCAGAATCACCAGAAGATGAGAGAGCTCCCCATCAAAACGCCCGACAGCTCACAGCCCACACTTAAAATTCCACAAGCAATGCTCCAAAGAACCCAAATCCCATTGCACCATCCTCCCATTGCACCGTCCTCCCCTCCCCAGGCTTCCTAACACACCAAGACATGCCTTCCTCGAGGCGTTATGCATTCAGTTAGGCTGCATTCCTCACCCAACTCCTGTGTCACAGTGCAGACGAACCCAGACAGCCAACAGCTCCCAGCAGTAAACTTGATTGACTGTGCATACGTTCACAGCACACGGACCTCAGATCCATCACTCGCAATAAATCTGTCCCATCGAGTCAGATAATTTGCTACACTGGAACAGTTTATCTTTTAAAACATAATTTCATGGAGTTGCTAAAGTTTCCTTTATTCTTCTGAAATAACAGCTTGCAAAGAATTTTTTTTTTTATTTTATTTTTGCTTCAGATCTGCTGCTTTTCTGTATTTTTTGTACAGAATATGTATAAAGCTATACTTTATAGCTTTTTTTTTTTTTTCCCCAATTGCTCTATAAATCCTGCTTTAGTAATGCACTGGTGTGATGGCTGAACCTCAGATTTCAGACTGGCGTCCCATTTCCCACAGCCCTGAGTGCAGGCAAGTGGCTGCACAGGATTTGGGGCACATTGCAGAAAAGCAAGAAAAGACATCAGCAGTGTAAAAGCCAAAGCAAACTTTCACCCCACATCCACACTCCGTGGCTTTGCTTTATGCAAAGCTTTGTCACTTGTTCTTTTTGACTCTGCTTTAGGAGCTACTCCAAGACCTTCAAAGTTAAAGATGAAACAATAAACACACATATATATATGCTAACTAACAGGCTGCTGTTAGTATTTCAGAATTTGGAGACAAAGTTGAAAGAGGCAGCAAGAAGTCCAAGTTAACGACGCTCCTGTGCCTGCCTGCTGCAGGACGGCTGCTCAGACACCTCCTAACACCCTGCCCGGATTCCAGAAGGCATCTCACACCAGAAGCACCAATCCTTCCCTTACCTGTCCTTCAGCCAGGTGTGCGGTGCTTTCCTCTCAGCTCTCCTTCACCCACATCTGCTGCAGATCCCAGCACGCAGCCTGTGTGCAGCGCAGCACCTCGGGGAGCTTTTTGTACACCAGTCCCCCTCACATGGTCTGATTTGCAGATAATCTGCTGCCAAAGAGCTCTTTAAGAATTTTTGCGTCACTTTAGTGAAATAAACTTTATGTTTCACCAGGGCTGCAGCTCGGTTTTCCTCCTAGAGGTGGGTGGCTCCACTTAAGCTGCTGGAAGGAGCGTGATCCAATGGAGGCAGAGGGCGAGGGGAGCGGCTCAGCGGTGCTGTGACAGCTGGAACAGGAGGTGCAGGGAGCACACATGGGGCCGAGGTGCTGCTTGCAGGTGGAGGAAGAAAGGACAGAGATGTCTGCCACCACATTAAGAGAGCTCAGAAGGAATGTTATTGCCATACACGTGTATCATTTTAATGAGGAGATAAGAAGTTTCGTTTGAACACAGCAAGCACAAACCCTTTAAGAGGCGTTCTGGTGCATCCACGATGGGCTGCTGCTCATCCCACCACCAAACCCACCCCACTAAACTGGCATTTCTTCCCTTCTCAACTTTACATTTCATTTCTAAAGGGCCGCGGATGGCAGGTCAACGAAACAGTGCTGTAGTTTGGTGTGAAAAAGAAAGGGGAAGAAGCAGAGCAGGGACGAGGAAGAAGAGTTAACAGTTACAGCAGCAAGCGGCTGCCAGCTTGAGAGACTTGTTCCAAGTAATTATATGGGGGGAAAACAGCACACAAAACTGTTAAAAATGAAAAGCACAGGGTTGTGATAAGCGCGCTCCACGTTCGGGTCCCCTTCCATAGCCGCGGTGTGTCGCTGGCACCATCTCAAGGACGGCTCCAGTACTGCAATTACAAACATGCCTACCGAAACAGTTCCTTCTTCTCCATTAATTCTTGTGGCAGTGCATTAACAACGTTTCGTCAATTAATATCGTTGCCTTAGCTATTTACTGCCCTCACACAGTGCTAGTGAGCTCATCTTGCTGCACCATACTCCCCCCTGCTGTGCTCCTTGCAATGCAAACACTTCGGGAGGTGGTAAGCTCTGCTGAGCTGCAGGGCAAATCAGTGTCCTCACCTGCAATCATCCACGATCCTCCCTGTCCTGCTGAACACAAAGACCACCACGTCTCACCCAGCAAACCCCTCTTAAGATCACAGCACAGCGCTGTAGGACAGGACTGTTGCTGTGCGCCAGGAGGGATGGGATGAGGGCTCTGTGCCTTTTCGTACAGATTTCCATCTCACACAGCTGGGAGACTGCGACGCATGTTCACCTGTTGCCTCTTCTTCCCTCCTGCAGGGAACACCACCTCTGTGCACGCCTCGGCTCTGCTCTTTGCAAAACTGCATCTTCCTAAAGTCTTAGCGCTGGAACTTTGAGGTTTCTGCGTCCCATTCTCCCACTCAGAGCACACTCTTTGAGCACCGCTGCGTGACGTCCATCAGGCAGCTCAACTGCTTTCATCTGCTCTCAGCAGTGGCACCCAGTGAGAGCTCAACCATTTTTTGTGGGATATACGAAGCTGTAATGTGAAAAACAGCATGTTAAGAGCACAGAACCACCCTTCATGACTTACGCTGGCCGTTTGGCCCCTTCTTTTTTTGTTAATGTCTTCTGCAGCAGTGTCTGTTTGTTGTTCTTTAATTTCTTGCCAGAAGCCTGGAGCTTTTGGGGCATAATGCAAGTAACAGACCTCAGATTTCAGCTGACCCATCACCATTATGAAACATACTTATCCCACGTGACATTCTTTTAGGTGCTGCACTGAATTTCAGGGAATCTTTGCAAAATCCTGGTGGTTTAGGATGGGTAAGAGCATTAAATCAGACCTCACACAAGATATAACTTCAAATTCTTCTACGGCTCTCCCCAGGTAAAGCAACAGTAATTCCTGCCACCAGTAGCAGCAGAGGACTGGGAATCATCAGCAAAGTGACCTAACAACAGCAGTACCAGCTGCACCAAGAGATTAACACCAGCTCTGTGAGCACATCTCTGCTTCACCGCCAATAAGAGGACGGGAGCAATTCGCAAATAACACGAAACAAATCCTCCATTATTTATGCGTTGCTGTCTTTTGCTCAGTTAGGAGCCTGATCACATTTAGAAGCTATTACTTCTGGCTTTGGGATAAAAGAAATTCTGATCATCCTCCCTTGCTGATTTCTAAGTGAACATGCTGGGATGTCCTGGCAGCTGGGGAGCCTGGGGGGTGTTGTGCTGGCATCAGAATTGTGCTGAGAGAATTCAGAAGGGGAAATCTGATGCCAACGACCCACACACCAACACCGTACGCAGCCTCTCCCCTGGCCACTGCCTTTTCTGAGTTAGCAGTGTGCTATTTTCCTACTCCTGACTGAAACTGCTCTTGCTGGCTTTCATAACATCTGTCAATATTTTCCAAGTGTCATAGGAACTGCCTTTGAATTGCCACTGCACGGTTTTATTGGCAGAAATGGGAGGAGGAAATTATCTGCTAGCTGCCCAGTTCCACCAAACTCCAAAGGTCTTCTTAGGAGCACGCAAAGGATATAAACCAAACTGAACAGAAACAGAGGTGAAGAATTGCTCCTTGTTTCTCACTCTAACGTAACATTTTGCCAGGCAGCATAACAGAACATCTTAGCTTGCATTGAGCCTTAAGCTACAGTCATGATCAGCAGCCTTGGAGCCAGTTGTTCAGCTGCCCTTGGAGTTCTCAAGACAGAAACGCTGCTCTCACTTTGACATGCCTATTTCCCTTCTTACTCCCCCTGACAGAGATCTTATAAAACAGCCAGACATGAATGCAAAACTGCTTCTGCCAGATTGGCTTTGTTTCCTATTATGTGTTTTAGGCATGTGGATTTTCTGTGCTTATTTGAAGGAAAGGAAAAAAAAGTACTATTGTATAAGCTGTACTGGGAAATATCTGGGTGAGGACTCCAGAGATAAGCACACACTGGACAATATCTTTAAATACTAAAATTAACAGCAAAATTGGCTTGGAAACAAGTCTTAATTTGTTAAGCTCTATCACTGCCATCAGAGCTGCCACAGGCAGTTCACCAGTTAAACTCTGCAGAACAAATTAGCTCTCCTTGGTGGCTGCAGTAGTAGGTAGGTGGTGTAAGGAAGAAGTAGTGTCATGTCACAATCAGATCTTGAAAGACCAAAATACTGACCTTTCCACAGGAAGAAAAAGCCCCCAGAGCACCAGGCGTTACTCATAAGGAAAACATTGCACATAACACAGCTTCCCAAGAGGTTTGGCTTTGTTTCAGAGCCACCAGGGTTCAGCATGGAGCACAGGACTGTTTACTCACCATGATGCCATTAACACAGCACAAGGCAGAGGCTGCACATCACAGAGCCACGAGGCACCTTGGGTCAGCCTGCCCAGCCTTTGCCAGAAGGATCCATTCCATCCACTTCTGAAACCCCTCACCAAGGTCTCTAACCAACAGAGGGAGGCACTGCATCCTCAGGCAATCTGCTCCAACTCTTCTTCATTAATTTGGAGACCCTCTAATTAGGGAAACTGATTGCAAAGGTGTAGCTTTGTTATTGGATGACTTGCTAGTAGAAAAAGCAAGCTGAGAGCAGCGTTAGTTTGTACCCTTACAGGTCCCAAGATAAAACCTTCTGGCAGAAGCCCAGGATAGCATGAACTGAAATTTGCTAGCAAGGACATCGAATGATGACACCACAGCACTGCAGGTACATTCTGTGATCTCCAGAACAGCTTTGTTACCTTCAAAGGAACACTACAGGATCCAGCCTTTTAAACAGCATCATTCAAGGGGAGTAACAACCAACCCCACTCTGTTCCATACTGTTGCTTCCCATCCAGCCAGCACTCTTGCACACTACCAGAAATGCAGACTGCAAGTTTTATCAGCTTGGGTGACCCCCAGACAAGCCCTAACATGGATTTAGTTTAGCAGCACCATGCAGGCATGCTTTAGCTTGGTATTTTTAATATATATAATGTACATACACACATTTGTATAACTTGTGTAAGATGTATATGCTTCTATAATAGCTTTCTACCTGTGTAGTTCAAACAAAAGCAAAGTCAAACCAAGATGCAGAGTACCATAGCCATAACAAACATTTATCTAGCAGCTCAGGAGCTGGCAGCCCATCACCTTGCTTACCCTCCTATTTGCTTGTGGCTAAACCCAACTCACAGCAGCACAATTGTCAGGTTACATAGAGACAGTCCACCATTCCAGGCATTTCAATCAAAGGATGAGAACAGTGCTCATCACCAAACTATTTGAGAGCCCATAGCACATGACACAGTGTTTATTTGTTCAGTGAGAAAAACAACTGTGTCTGCTTCAGACAACATACAGCAGCATGTTTCCTGTCCTCATACCGGCCCACTCACATTTGTTTGTGATTTCTCCAGTTCACCAGGGCTCAAAAAAGAAACCAGAGCTGTACCAGTCACTTAAGAAACTGTTTATTCAAAAGCTTCATAGCACCATCTTGTTTTTGAAAACATCCAAATAAAATGCAGCAATTAATTGGTTTTTTTTTTCCTGTTCAGCATGACACTAACTCCAGCCATGAACATTTATGGTTGTTCTTGCTAATGTAACTGAAAAATAGCGCTCCTGTGCACACAGACATGATGGGCCTTGATATGTGTTACCCAATCCTAGCTCAGTAACTGAAGAATAAAAACAAGTGAAACTGGAAACCTCAGGTTATTTTCCCCCCAGTGCTGCTGGAAGATAAGTTTTCTAAGGGTAAATAAGGTAAACCTCTAAGGTTCTGCAGTTTCAGCAATATGTACCCTTGAAAACTTCCTCCTTTAAGAGAATTAAAAAGGAAAGTGTATAAAAGACCTTGGGCATTCCTTTGTGGCATAAGATAGACCACAGATGGTTAATCTATAAGAATCTTGACATGTTTGTTCCAACACCCAGCTGTTAACACTAAAGAACGGCCTTTGACTGTCATCTTTTCTAGGGAAAACCCTGGTCAAAATGGTTCTACTTTATTACTATGCCAATTTAAAATGGATAAAACCAAACCACCATTGACAGCACTTGTAATAGACTTGATTTTTTTTTCCTTCTCCCTTTTTAATTTTGCAGAGCAGCCTGTCTGAGAGCTTGAATTCAGCCAAGTAAAGCGCTATTTCCCAAAGATCCTTAACTTACTTTTCAAGAATGTGGACCACGCTGAGGGCTTGGTCACACTATCATTTGGCTATGGCTTCCAACCACTGGGTTCTCTATTGCATCTAATCTGGTTGACCATTAAGAGGCAAATATTC